TATATTTATAAATCGGAATCTTATTTATAGATTGTCGTATCGAATTTAATAGATACAGCATGTTTTTGAATTAATTTTGTCATTTTTATGTTGAGTCCCTATCTATTTTTAAATGTTTAACTCAAAATATTTCATATATATTTCTTATTCTTATGATTTAATATCAAATGTAGTTTCTAAATACTAAATCTTGGTTTGAATTGTTAGATTTTTTTTTCAAACTGAAAATTAAGTGAAAATTGATCAACTTTATGTCCTGATTTGAATCCAGTAGACCTTCCTTGTTCCTTGTTAGGAGACTCCCAAAATCTTATGTTGCTTTTCAGAACTAAAATAATGTGTTAATAAAGATTTTACAAAACATTTTTTTACGATATTGATTCCATTTGTCATGCTGCATCTATTCCCAAATTTTTTTGGATAAGTTGTGAATCACCCTGTATAGGAAGCAAATAAAATTTTTACTCGAAAAAATTCCTATCCGCGAGATTATTGTAAAATTATCTAAAGTATTCTAAAGGAACATAATACAAGACATTTCTCACTCATCTCGTGAGTCAAAAAATTGTATTAGGTAGCTAACTTTTCTATTTAAACTAATAAGTGCGGAAAACAGTTTTTTTGCAGGGAAAACCATCAATTTTAGCGAAAAGTGACAGCTTGTAGGGAATAAAATTATTTACAAAATGAGACTTGTTAAATTAAAATCGGTTAATAAACAAAAAAACAAAAGTGCCCATTTTTTAATTTGTAACTATCGCATTTATAGTTAAAATTTTATAAAATCTAACAAGTTGAGGGTTTTGTCATACTTTAAAAGTGTGCCAAAAGTGGGCGCTATAGGTGCAATAGTTTTCGCACAATTCAATTTGTTTATAACGGAGGCTCCAAAAGTTGTGAACTTTATGCCTCTGTACAGGCGTTAATTTTCAACCAAACATGATTCTGAAAGCGTCATTGTAATCTTAAAGATGTAATTAAGCGACCTATTAAAAAATATCACCGTTTTTTTGACATTAACATTCTCAAATTGTGCATTAAAGAAACCGTGCGTTTTTCGCTTAAAAACAATTTGAATAAAATTGTTGCTATTTATGCTACCTCACCGAAAACAGATGCAATGGATACCTGGCAAAAAAATACAAATTTAAAAAAAAATATATCGTAGCACAATTTTTTCTAAACATTAAGACTTTAATTTTTCGCAAAATAAAGTTTACGACATAAACTACGATTTCCCGTGAATTGCATTGAAAAATGTGGAAAATTAACGACTCACGAGCCCTTTAAAAAGAAGGTACTTGCTAAGTAAACTGTCCGGCGTGGTGATGGGGGAAGCTCGTCCAAGCGAGTCGCGAGATGCTTCTCGAGTGACATTTAAAATGTTTTCACATTACCTATTCTAAAATGTTTTCAGTATCAACTCATTTTTATAATTAATATATGAAATGGAACCTATTCGACTCCCAAAAATGAAATCAGTTTTATTAAATTCGTATAACTTTTAAATTACTCACTCGCTGCGCGCGTTCTTACTCAAATGCTTTGCTTTTCTAAACTTGTTTTACTATTATTATTACTAGACAACTGTCAATTTAATTGTCAATTATATCTATGTCAGACACTTTCTTGTAGTATTATTCATGAGACAGGCATAGATTTAACTGGCAAATAAATTTATTAGAAGATAAAACGAATGGCGCATAATTCTGTTTCCTAAATGTCAAAAAATCAAGAGTTAATCGAAACAAAAAAATATTTTTCGTATACCTGACACTTATTCACTTAATTGCCTCAATAATATACTTATTTCTGAAATTTTATCGCGACTGAGGAAAGTTTACAACTCAAATTAATCAAGTACCATTACTTTCTTTGTTCAAAAGTTGCAAATTATGGTTCCCAATATTTTTCGAGTTTATCTCAGATGTAGAGGCAAGGTAATCACATAAAACCCATATTTTGTTTTGAACTCTGGTTATAGTCCAAGAATTATTTTCTATGGATTAACAAACATCGACGTTGAGTGAATCAGAAACTCTGACCACTTTCAAACATACTCCATTTGAAACTACTTTTATCCGAAACCACACATTTCACAAATTTTTAACAGCCTATATCAGAAAACGAAGCGTTACTTGTGCACACGTTTATGCCCATTTTATAATTAATTAATGACGTAGAACTCGCAATTACAGTTTGCTCATCGGCATTTTAGTACCGTGCATATTGAATCGTAAATATTTAGTTGATTTTGAATTACCGGAAAAACGCAGAACAATCCTAAATCCATAAATCCAACGACGTAAGCATAAACCGCCTTAAAAAACGTCTTAAAACCAGACACTGCATCCATCCGCTTACATTTGATGAACCATTAATTTTAATTATTTTAATGTTCCGCATTAATTGCCATTTTACTATTGCGAACGGGAAGATGTTTATCTGCAGAATAATATAAAATACCACACGCGTATTAAAAGGAAAAAATAACGGGCTATTAACGGAGCTCCGCTCATTTGCTTCCACAGCGTTTGTAAATACACTAAATGCAATATGCGGAATGGAAAAGCTGAAACCGATTTTAATTCAACGGTGGAATGATAATGCGAACAGGATATTTATATGTAACGCTTTTGTATTAGTGCGGTATAAAAATTCTTTATTTCTCACCTCGTAAATTCATCCTGATTATTTACATGTAAGATTTACTGGTCATTTGTTTTATTAAGATGCAGTTTAGGTGAGATGTAACAATGAATGGTCATTGCTGCTTATTCATAGATGTAGTAGCATATCACCTATACTATACAGGGTGTTATTTAAGTAGCGGCCAAACTTCAAGAGATGATTTTTTGAGTGATTCTAAGAAAAGTTTATGTAAACATTGGTCCGGTAATGCTTCGTTTTCAAGATACAGGGTGTCAAACTTTGTTTAAAAATCGTTTTTTTTGTAAAAATCTTAATAATTCTTTAGCCGATTTTGTTGAAATTTGGCCTTGTTATGTATGGCAAAAAGGGGCTAATTTAGATTAAAATTATTAAATCTATAGTAGGATCATATTCGATGTAAAGTTATAAATCATTGCCTGTCAAGGGATCCAGTGCAGTACAGTTTCAAGGGGTTTAGAAATTGAATGATTTCTTTATGCATTATGAAGGGATGAAGGGACTCAATTCACGTCTGGCACCCTGTTCCTACAAAAGTCCCTTTATTCTCATAACCTATTTATTTTAAATATAATTTATTATAAATCCAATTAGTTTTTTAAATTCCGCATATGTACTACATTTCACCTCTGTACGCGTCACTGTTGTCTACTTGTTTTTTGGAGGCGGTCTCTGATTTACGACCAAGCTCGCCAGGTTAGTATTTGACGTATAACCGACCACTTCGTACACTTGATGCACTTGGGTGACTACAGCTATTACCAGAACACAGTGCGTATGAAGTGGTATTTCAGATTTTATATTCAATTTCAATTTAAATTTGAAATGATTCTTCTTACGCTTCCTAAAAATGATGACACGATTTTCCTTTCATAAAAGATCGACAATTTTTTGCTCTACTTTGTATTGAATACGATCCTACTATAGCGACGTCTCGGGGGACACCTGAACCAATATTTTTTACTAGAAAATTTGCAATACTGACTTTTTTGAAACTTTTATAATTTTTTTGCATTAAGTAACTAAAAATACAACTTTTTTTCTCTCGAAATTTTTTTCGTATCTTGCGTCCTTTTTAGAGAAAAAAAAATAAAAATCACTTTATTGCATGTCCATGGGCAACAAAAAAACATTTCTTAATAATTAAGTATCTAATAAAACACAAAATTGTTTTTAGCTAGCATTAATGTTTATAACAATTTCTAAGACTAGAATAGACTATTGATATGGAAAAAATAACAGGTTTTTCATAGTTTGGTAGTTTAATTTTTTTATGTTGTCGAGGCATTAGTCCGCAGAGTAGTTGTTTTCTAACAACATCATCAGTTTCAGTTTGTTAAGAAACATACATATTCTAAGAAATGAGTATTTTTTTCCATAAATGGGCGCGGAAAAATGTAGATTCTTTATAGTTTCTTAATTAGATATAATTGAATATGCACATAATTCTTAGATTTAAATTAAAAAGTTTGCATACCAACATTTCCGCACTATAAAAGTTAATATAGATAAACATAATCATCTTCCTTTTTGTCCCCTTATTTCTATACTACAATGCACGTTTGTCTAGCGTCCAAAGAATGGCTGCAGGATAACGATATCACTCACCTCTGACCCTTTACATACATTGAAGAACTTCCGTTCCATTCATAGCATAATGGAAGCGTCATTTTTTCAAATTGCATTCAAAGACAAGTGTATAGATCTGGCTAGTTCTCTGATGATTTGTCATATCACTTTGAATGCATTTAAACAGGATGCAACAGTGATTTAATTTTAGAGGATAATAAACAAAGAAACTAGATATTTTGCGTCTCCTAGGGACCCTGCGATTCTTCAAAATTGATACGGAGACAGTTGAAACACAATCTTCAACTTGGTAGAAATCAATTACATCACCATCACCATTATATTATATAAAGTATATTCAAAATCGGACAGTACTTTGGCTAACGGACGAGTTGTTTTATTTAATTCACTTTTAATAATAAATAAGTTAAATACACATAATTTCGTTTCTTTACCGAATGGAATCTGTCACCAGTAATGTGAAGTCACACGTGTAGCTTTGAGGCTTTATAATCTATGTGATATATTGACTTACTGTCGTAAAAGTAAAAAAACTATTCCATTAAATAAATTTGCTTATTGGGCAATAAAACAAAATTCATAACTGAATTTCTTCGTTCAAAGTAATTTTCTAGGATATCCTGGTGAAATTGACCGAGCCACATCTATTTGCTTAAGCAATCTTCTCCGTCATCGAGAAGACTTTGTGGTTAAATATCGATTTTATCGAACTTAATAGATCAGAAATGCGGAAGTCTTACCTTTCCGAGGTTGACTTGACCAGTTCTCTCTTCCATAGACCGCAAGTCAATTCTCTGGCGGTGAGACCGAACAACAGCAGATTGATGAACAGCAAAGTACCGATCGGGCCGTAGAAAAAGGTGAGCTTCTCTACATCGCCTGAAAAAAAAAAGAAATAACACTGAATTACTTATGAACAAACTTGCATGGGTGTTACTTAATTCGACAACCAATCTTCTACAGAATTCACATTTTTTTTAATCGAATAAGTAGTCAACCTATAACGGTGTCTTTGAGTTGCATTTAAATCTTGTCTACGCCGTCACCAGGCAGCACCCGAAAACGGTTATATGTGCTAATCAATGTAGCCTTTTGTTACCTTTTCAAATGAACTGTTTAAAATAATTTTATAAAAACAGATTGCTTTTGCATTATAGTGCGACATGTTAATTTAAAGTAACCATACATTTTTGATGATGGACTGAATGAAACGTTGAATGTTAAAAAAATATACATTTTTGCACGATTTATTAACTAATATTTACAGTCAAGATTATGCATACATAAAATTAATTTATAATTTAAAATAATTATTTCTGCTGTTTTATAAAATTATATATTTACTATTTATTAAATCACTGTGTTTAGTTTGCGAATCTCACCTGAAATTGATCTAGTTTAGGTGAACTACATAGTATCAATACGCATGATGTGATATGACAACAGAGCACTTCAGCACAACTAGAATTTTATTTTATTACTTTTATTATAGTTTTCTGCTTATCGGTTTACGAGAAAATATGTATACGGTAGGCAATTTCTCGACTTTCTGCGTGAAGCATTTTGTTACGGTGTGTTTGTGTGTCCTCATTATTCAACTTTTGTGTGATATGAAAAAACATGTAGGATTCGAATCAAGAAAGAGGAAAGACTAGCGCCCGCAGTTGTTCGAGGTTATAGAGTGGTATACAAATTACGAAAAAAAAAGGGTAAAGAAATTCAGTGATACACAATGAACTTAAGTATATGATATGTGTTTCTAAATGTCAAAGGTGCCCCAGACTAAGTATGACCACTAATCAAATATACACCCTACGCGAAAAAATTGAACTTTATTGGTCGACATTTCCATAGCTGTCTTGATAAATAAAGTTGTCTATGGTAAATGCAATAATAAAATCATTTAGCGTGTAGAAAAATTATTTAACGATTATTATCAAAGGAAGCTGTGATATTCATCCTCGGATGTAAATGTTTCTAAAACATTAGAAATACCTATTTAAGATCTCTAATTAAAGATAAGTTCTAGTTACTTACAAAGTAAAAAAGAGTAACAAAAAACAAAAGAAAAGTAGATATTTCGTATCAAGGTAATTTTAAAAAAGAGTTCTACGAACAGATTTTTTTATTTTTCAATAGCAAGTACCAAATTGAATAATGATACTTCAACTGGTTTAAATGATTATTATTGTTCATGTTTTTTTTATATTAATTTTGATCAAGAAACACCCTGTAGAAGTTTGACAGTTGAATTAAGGTACAACCTGTACAATGTAGAAATCGTGCAATATCATACAAATGAAATCCAGTTTGAACCAATAAATAACGTCGCTACTACAGCATTTTTTTTTGTTAACACTTCTTTCAGTGTATTTATTGTATTTTCCATCTACAGTAATTGTTTCAAACAAACGTCTATATAAAACCTTTGGTATATTAATATATTACTTGAACTGTTGCAAACAAATGCTTATTAGAGCTTGTAACGTTTGGTAGATTATATGGTTTTAATTCGTTGTTAATTTATAGGAGGGATTTATTTCCCTATTTCACAAAAACTTCAAAGATGTGCATAAGCATCATAAATAAGTGAAAGCAAAACAAAGCAGGAAATCGAGAACGTAAATTACAAATTAATTATTTTTCCAATCATCGGGCTGGTGCAAATATTTTATTGCAAGCTGGATATCGTGGAAAAATTATGGACTATTTGTCTCCAAATTTCTCTCCGGAGGTATAGAAAGCATAGAAAAAATAACTCAACTTATGAGTGTTTTTGAAACATCAAAATATTTTCATATAACGTCTGAAATGGAGTCGCTTTTCATTTTTTGATTGTTGTGTGCAAAAAATTATTTAACATTTTACACAAATGTTTTAAAAAATGTAACTAATTGTCTTTGATTAAGGTGCCATATTATTTTCGCCCGGGTAAAACTTCATGAACTTAATTACTTCACGTCGAATTTTACTTGAAAGTGGCTGATTCATTCTTTCCGATTGTATCTGTTCAGTATTTCCGAACGTAAGTAAATTAATATGACATCTAAAAAGTGACACTTTTCGTTGGAAATAATAATAATAGTCCAAACGTATTTACAAGACAATGGTAAGGTAAGGAACTTAGCACAGATCATTAATGAATACAATAAATAGCAAAGGACATGGGGCCTGTTTTTTGAAAGTACTTTTCAACTTTTCATTTTTTGGGTTAGGTATTTTCTGTTTTACAATTTTTATGGATTGAAAAATGAAGAATCCCTAGTGCTTGAAAGTTTTTTTTATCTTGGGAAGCCATTAAATATAACCCAGTAAATGAAAAAAAAAAATTGTAAAAAATTCGTTTCAGATTGAAACTTGGTTTAATCATTAGTTAGTTAAAATAAACTTTATACATAAAAAATGTCATTTCCTGAATTTTTTTACATAAAAATATTGTTTTTTAAGAAAATTGTTTATTGGTACCATTGTGAAAAATTATTTCTCGAAAAAATGCGAAAAATTTTTTTTTCAAAATTAATAGTTTATAATAAATTAATAATTAATTATTGCAAAATGAACCGTGCAGTTGTTATTATTTTCATGCGCTACGCCATATTAACAAAAAACGTTAAAATTGGTCCACAATTACCGAAGATATCGCAAAATTTTCGGGCAGTTAAGATTTGAAGTCTCGGAACGTTTCTGTCTTATTTCCCCCACCACATTCTAGGTGTAAAAATGTATTCGAGGACGTTTTTTAAAGGGTTAAAAATTACTATAAAATACATTTTTTTCGACATCTTTAACCGTTATTATGAAGTTTAAGGAATGATTGATTTATTCCCGAAATTGCAAGTCTTAATGTTTAAGGGTTGATTGATTTATTCCCGAAATTGCAAGTCTTAATGTTTATAAATAAACAAATGATGAATTAAAAAAAAACCACTTTGTCGGTTAAAAATGGTCCTAGAACAATTTTTTTTTAATTCGTGAAAAATTACCAGGATTACGAATATCAAAGCGACTTTAAAAAATGTAATTCTTCGCAATGTCATTAACGAAAAACGTTATAAATAAATTACATTATTTATTTATACACCGTTTTGAGGAGGTTAGCCTACGAAATTACAATTTACAATTGCAATCTTGAAAATATAAGTCAAAACGAAACAAATGAGCCCTCATAAGGCCCTTTATTATAACGCTAACAATCACGTTTTTGCAATTGAAAAAATGCTATTCTAATAAACAAATGCAAAAACTCGTAAAAAAATTAATACTTTTTTACCAAATTTTCAGGGTTTCTTAAGGGTAACAAAATACAACTTCTACTGCAGTTTAGAGATGATTTATGCTCCTTTCTTCTATTTATAGCAAATTCAAATTTCACTGTTTTTTTTTTGCAATTATTTAAACAAATTGTTAATGGATTTTAATTTAGCAGGTCTCAAATGAAGCGTTTTTTGAAAACCTATAAGTATAAACAAAAGCAAAAACTCCTGTTGGAGAGAATTTTTGGTAATTTTTAAATTATAATCATTGTTTAAACAATGATCTTGTTGTTTTAAACCGCTACTTTTTGGGAACTATTATTTCTTTTTGCCTAAACTAACGATTAAACCATGTTTCAATCTGAAACGAATTACCTTTTGATTTACATGTATTACAAATTTCATTTACTTGGGCTAATATGTAATAAAACATACAGGGCGTCCAAAAAATTTTAAAATGTGAAATTTTCCCTAAACGGAGCCTTTAATTTTTGTTTTCCTTAAAAACTCTATTTATCTCTATCAAAGTTGTTTGTGTTGAGAACTAAAGAAATGCTTAAATACGGGGTTAGGCAAAAAAGAAAATCACATTTTGCAATTAAGAAGACGCGACTTTCAACTATCTTACTTAAAGCGGACAGAAATTTAAAAAATAAGTAAACTCATATTTTAAATTCACGCCCTTGGAAATGAGTTCGTAAAACTGCAATGTTCTTTTAAATATAAAATTTTATATAGGGAGTCAACCAACACATTTAACCCTCAGAATACGAAACGGACTTCACGTATTTAATTTACAGTTTTTTTTGTTGTAATTATTGTGTTGAACTAAATCAGGCTACGTACCAGTACTGACACGTTTGCAACAAGACACCACGTCTTTGAAAAGCAACCTAATTCAGCTTTGCGCTAACAGCTGCTTAATCAGAAGCCTTAATGCGATCTATTAAAGCACTCTTCAGATAATGACCTTTAACGTCTCATAGTTCGTCCGCATTGCTAATTTAACTTAACTAAAAAGGAAGTGGATGTTTAAAAAGAGAATAGGACACTTGGAAAAAGCGATACGGTCCATTGGACGCTTTTAGCAGTCGTTCTTAAATTACGGGAGACGGGAAAGGGCAAGACGAATTTTTATTAAATGTTAGGTGGGACGACGTTACTGATTTATGTAAGTGAGTGTGGGTTTGTTGCGTCTTTTGATAATGCGGATACTCTTTGTTCTCAATATAAAGTGTGGGCCGGTAGTTTATGCCACTTTATCGCGATGAGGATGACATATTTTCGTAACGGTATCTGTAATCCTACATACAAAAAAAAATCGTTTTGCGATAAATGTCATACATTTCCTTACAACGCTTTTTGAAAACAAATGTTAAAAAAAATTTTAATGCATCATTGAAACTGAAAAACGGTGCTGCAAATTAATATTCTTATACTTTCACATTTTTAGAAAGCAAAATATACACTGTCCCAGAATGATGGAACAAAATTCATATTTTTTTTCCAGTTCAGATAAAAAAAAATCGCTGAAACAGGTCAATTGGTAAATAGAATCACTTTTCTGCAATATTTTCTATTTTTTTAAGCCACAGATCTATAACATTACCGACATTTTTTTGAATA